CTTTGGACTTTCCACAGGGCAGGGAATCCTGACTGCTCTTCAGACTGGAGGGAGGGGATGGGGGGAGGGAGAGAGGAGGGGGAGGAGGGGGAGGGAAATGGGAGGCTGGGAGGAGGCAGAAATATTTTTTCAATAAAGAAAACATATTAAAAAATAAAAATAAAAAAAGTTGGATATATGAAAAGCATTTTGGCATCAGACTGAAAGACGCAGCGTTTAGTGTAAGCACTGATGTTTTTGGTCTAGCTTTCCTTTGGTCTAGTATCTCCTCACTATGTTCTTTTCCCTAATTTTTGACCAGAGGTGCATATCTTTTAACATTTTAGATTGAAAGTGTTTAAAATGGCTTTTGTTTTTTAATTTTCTAGCAGAAAAAAATTAAAAGATTATATGAATCTCCTCAGAGGAGACGTTCAATTTTGAGTTCAAACAATGGGGGGATTTCAAGCTGCATAAATAGAAATTTGTATTATCATATTGCTACAAGTTTATAGGGTATGAGATGAAAGTTGGTAGCTTGAATGTAACCAACCTCGATGAAATCCCAGGTGTGGCGTTACTAGGAAGTGTGCCTTTGTTGGAGAGTTGTGCCCTTGTATTAGGATGTTTGTCACTATAAACGTGAGCATTGAGGTGGCATATGGACTCAAGCCAGGTGCAGTGTACTACACCACTTCCCATTATCTGTAGGATGAAATTTTATGTCCTCATCCACTCACAGCTCCTTCATCAGCTCCATGTCTTCATGTATGCCACCATGGTTAGGCAGGATGATCCTAGACTAAACCTCTGAAGATTTACTTAGCGATCTAGCTAAATATTTTCCTTTGTAAGTGGTCAATGTGTACTCCACAGAAACAGAAACTTTAACAACATGCTGTGTGCTAATGAACACCAGTTTATGTGTAGTTTAGTTATAGGAAAGTTGGTACCCAACCCTTTTTGTATGAGAGGACCATGGCTGGTTTGGAGAATAATGGACCAGAGGAATTGCCACCTAACTGTCATCTGCTTGTAGTTATTTGAATGTAGTGTAGGGACTTCTGTGTAGTACATAATACTTATCCATCCCTGTGTATGGGTGACATGAAAAGCAGAGAAATATAAAAGAAAGAGACACTTCCTTTCATGAATATTGTGACCATGATAATCAGGCAGGGGGTCATATAGCAAAGTTTAATAACGAATTGGGTTTATATAAGTGGGCCTTAAGTTGAAAGAGATAATTTATATAAAAGACCCTGATGTGTAGATATGAGAAAGGGGATGTTGCTTCATCGGGATGGCAGGAAATAACTAGGAAGACCTGAAACCTACAAATATATGTTTCTGTGAGACAATCTCTATACACAATATGATACTAAATAAATCATGAACAAACACTATGTTGAGGGCTTGTAGTTTATGTTTGTATACCTTGCAGGCTCTGATACCCAGGTGTATGTGTTCATGCATTTCTCTGTGTGTTTGTGTGTGGTTTTGACTTCAGGGGGGAGATGCATAACAGGTGCCATCTGAGACTGTACTTTTGTCATTTAGAAAAATATATTTATTAATATAACAGAGTTAAAATACAATGGAAGGGAACATCTTGGTGGCCAAAGCAATTGGGCCCCTTACGGATTACATTATCACATCATCTCTTTCTTTGAAGCTGACACAAGGATTCAGAGTTCACTCTGGAATGGGCATGCCACAGATCAACAATTCACCGAGTACATGGGAAATTGACTTCCTCATCCATTTCCAGCACTTGAATGGCCTGGATGCAGAGGTTGTGGACCCAATCTGAGTCTGGTCATTGGGGATATTGGTTTCCAGGGATGGTTCCTCCGTCGAGAAGCCCATTTTCACCAACAACTTGGGTCTTCCATCCAATGTTGATTCAGATAAGGAGAGATCACCAGGCGAGCTGTCCACAGAATTCATGTTGTCTACAATGTCCCCAGTAGCACAATTGATAACATTTGCCATCAGGACACCTTCTTCTGGGACTGTGAAGTCTGAACAGGGTCTCAGCTCCAGGCAGTAGTATATGTTGAGCTTGATAAGACTTTGGCATCTCTTTCGACTCCTTCTACCCACTCTTCCTGAGATTGTCTCTTCCCAGCTTCTTTAATTGTTGGAAGGAATGGTTCACTCGCTCTCCTCTTCAATGAGAATAGAGGGTGATGAGCATCTATGTGCCTGCCCTGTAAACACGGATACTCAGTTTGCTGGAAACTGTTCTCACACCTCAATTTGTGTTTTAGAATATTAAAAGTTGCTGTTACGTTATTTGGTTGCCTGTATCTCAGTGATGAAAAAATCTCTTCCAAGTTATAACCCATAGTGCACATAGTCTCTACAAGCCTTGGAAGGATTTCTTTAGTTGTTGGTGCTGTATGTTTTTTATGGGGCTCAGCCATAATCTTTTCACAAGTTGACATATGGTTATTCTCCCAATGGTGGGAACCATGAGTAATTGTGCAATGATGATGTGACAGGGTTTTAAAAAGTGGTCGAAAATGGGATACATAGTGTTGGTGATGAGCCTGTGAATACCATCTAAGGTGTCTTCAGCATATGGATATTGTCCTGTGACCATTGCATATAGGACGACTCCGAAGCTCCACATGTCAACAGCCAGCCCATCATAAGGTTTCCTTGCCAACATCTCTGGAGCCATATACTGCAAAGAACCACAGACTTTCTTCAACATCTGCCCCTTTGCAAGATGAATTGCCAAACCAAAATCACAAAGCTTGACATTGCCATCTCCATCAATAAGGATATTCTCCAATTTAATATCGCGATGCGCAATGCGTCGTTGGTGGAGAAAGTGCACCGCTGATATGACCTGTTGAAAGATGGGTCTAGCCTCCTGCTCCTTTAAACATCCAACCTCACTGAGGAACATCTGTAAATCCTTTCCAGCCACATACTCCGTGATTATATAAGTCCTTGACTGTGTGTCAATGACATGAAAAAAATGAATGATGTTCCTGTGTTCCAAAGTCTGAAGGATCTTTACTTCAGAGTTCATCTCACCTAGAGTATTGCTTTTTTTACAAAGGGTCTTGACAGCAACCTGTGTTTTGGTGGGAATGTGGCAGGCAAGCTTCACCTCCCCGAAAGAACCTACGCCTAGAGTTGTTAAGATCTTGAAATCTTTGTCAAGGATGTCTTCGTCGGAGGGGCTGCCCATGATGTGTCGTCACAATCCACCTACTTTTCTATTTTTTTTTATTTCACATATTTTATTAGGAGACAGATGGGCAGAAAAAGACAAAATAAACCATTAAGGAGAAGTCAACACAAAATGCATCGGGTAAACTTTTCTCATAATTTAAACTGAAAAAAAAACATTAATTTTAGCTAAGGAAACTACTAATATTGGTTGTGTCTGCTGTTTTAATTGAAAACTGCATCTGAATCTTTTTAGTTGCAAATGTAAACCTTGTGCATCAGGGTGATTTTTCAATAGAGCTATACATTTCCCTTCCAGTGGACAAGATGGAACCCAGCAATAATGGCCAGGAGAGGGGGAAGAAGGGCCTACAGAAGTAGAGCGTGGCTGATAGGATTCTGGAAAAGAATGAGAGAAGCAACAACAGCATCATGTCACTATATACTTTCTCCACTCAGCCCCAGTGCGGCCTTGATTAGACTAAAATGCTGTTCTTTTCACATCAAATGCAAACCTAGCCTTAACAGTAAAGTCAACAGAAGCTGAGAGGCCCACCTCCACTTGCCTCTCTGGCTCCATAGAGGCCAGCAGGGAGCCTCCCACAATGCCAAGGTGCTTACCATGCCTGGGAGTGAGATGTTTTAGCTTCAGTGGGCTGGGTGTAAGGTGTATGGATCCAGGGCTGCAGGCTATCTGGGAGTATTGAGAGGAATTTTAAGTCTTTACCATTGAAACATTTCTGGACTAAACATTCTCATTGAAGAACAGACCCAACTTTAGAGGTCAAAGAACTGGGAAATAGCATTCAGTCAGGTGCGTTCAAAGAGTGAATGAAAACCCTGATATCAGAAAGGAAGGGACGCCTACTCGACAGTGGAAGATCCATCCTCCCCAGTTACTATCTGAGCTGGTACACAAGGATCATAGCATCCTATCCTTCTGAAAACTAGTTTTGTGTCATAGCAGTTTGCTGAAACAGGAACAAAAATTTTACTTCAAATCTGAAGTCCCTGGATGGTGAAGGCTAAAGGAGTTCACTCTTGATTGAAGCAAGACGTGATTGAGATCTGGGAAACAGCTGCAGCAACTGCAGCCCTGCCAAAACTGAGATAAGCCTAGGGGAAGCTCCAGGAACAATTCCTGCTTGCACTCTGGCCCAAAGTGCCCTCCAGATCAAGGTCACACATGCCCACCAGTGTCACTACCAGGAGGAGCAGCTTGATGAAAACCAAAATCTTAACACATGCACCTAGGATTAATACTGAATAATTAAAAAGGGTTACTTAAAAAATAACCCTCATTTGAGTATCTGAGATGTTTCCTCCCCCAACAGCGGCTTTTGAACTTCCCCCTCAGCAGCATCAATAAAAACTAGTACAATTTTCAATTCTGTTTTCATAACTAAAACTTCACACACACACTGCCTTTCACGTCCCCCCACTCACCCTACTCAGAAAAAAAGATACCCTATCTTTAAAATAAATAGCAACCAAGTGCTCAGTTCTATGTAAAGTATGAATATTTATTTCAGGCTTTAGATCCCAATCAATTCCAAAAAAAACAAAATCTGATCTCTCAGAGTAGCTGTAGCCTCCATCTTGGGGTGATGTCATAGAGGCAGAAGCAGCACACTTCATCAGGATTAGCAAGAGTAAGTCCCTGATGCCCACTGCATCCCAGCCTTAGGAAGGGAAAGAAACAAAATTCACCACCATGAGCTGAACAAATGCACACGCACTAATGGAAAGGAGCAGCTTAACCTTGCTTGGCAAATTGGCTTTTTTTTTTAAAGTTTGTTTTGTGGGTTATGTGGGTTTTTTTTTTTGGTTTTGTGGGTTTTTTTCCCCCATTTTCTTTTGCTACCCAATATATGGAGCATTTGTGGACTCCCAGTGAGTTCCCAGCTTTAAACACATAATGTCTTAAACAGACTAATTCTTCAAGAATCTAAAAACAGGCAAACGTGTTTTGCTGTGAACATTCTGCAGAGATGAAGTGAGGTGGGAGTTTGAAGGGTGGTGGCTTTTTTTTTCCTTTAAAAAGAATCAATACAGTGATGGAAGGGTAAAGAATGCAAGAATTCAGACATTCTGTGGAGGGTACTTTCTCTCCAGTAAAGGTCCATAAAAAGGAGCAAACTGAGATCCGCGGGGATTCAGCAGGAGCTGTGTGTTTCCCCACCCCATGAGTAAGTTTTTGCTGAGGGGCCACCATAGATCCCCACTTGCTCCCCTCCCTTTGGCCTGAGACGTCAGGCCAGTACAGGGGCACTGAAGGAACATGTCACGCTCCTCGTTCCCAGAATTATCATCATCATAACAGTCGGCGTCCTCTTCCTCCTCATCTTCATCATCAATGTCGTAGTCATACAAGTCGTCATACAGCAGATCTGAGCTGTTGTCATTGGAAGGCACTTTAGTTTTGATGCAGTATTCTGCCAGGGTTGTGGGGACCTTCACTCCATCCTTTTCTGCTTCAGCCTTAGTGGCCGAGACCAGTTTCCTGATGATCTCAGCGTACTCCTTGTCTTTTCCTTTACTGTCCCTCCATTTCCTGAACATCACTGAAGCATCCACGTTGGCTGGAGAAAAGGTGTTGGGCTCATTAAGCAGTGAGATTACACTTAACAGGATAGTCCTCACATTCTGAGTGGGATTCCACCTTTCAGAGGGCAGTTCTCCACTTGGTGGATCATCTACAGGCGGATGAAGAATTGAAATGCATACATCTCCATTCTTATAAATGTTGGGGTGCCACATTTTGGTCAAGAATCTGAAGGTAGGTGGTGAATATGGGTAGTCAATGGGAAATTTAATATGTGCCTTGAAGTAGCCGCCTTCATAGAGAGTGTTAGGTGGACCGAAGATGGCCACCTCCCAGTTGTAGAGGTCGGAATCATCCACCAGGGTGATACAGAAGCCCTCCACCGGTTCCTCCTGCAAGGATTTCAGCTCAAGCATCAAGGCTTTCTGCGAGCTGGTTATCTGTTGCTGGGCCATCACAGCGGCGGCGGCGGCGGCCATGCAAAGCCGCGGCCCCAGTCCTCATGCACCAGCCAGGCCGGAACCTATTTTTCTCTTTAACAGGCAATGCTAGAAACAAAAATTTAATCATCATTAAGATGCAGGTCTAGCACTATGAATCCGCAGTCATCAAATCTTAGATTTCCAAATCAAAACTAATGATGCACTTCAAGGACATAGAAATACCAGAAGAGCACAACCTCAAAGCAGTAGACAAGGAATCACAGTAAAGTTCCAAGAGGCAATCGCTGATGTGTCAATCAAATAGAAATACTTACATCAGTGAATTAATGATTTGATTATTTTCAACAATGAACCAAAATGAAAATCTTTGGCCAATCTTATCAAGTGATGAGATACAAATTAAATTAAAGGTAAAAAGAGATAATGTTCTAGCCAAATTATACTCCATAGAATATCTTCTGGATACTTCAAATATTAAAACCTAGGGAATTTGAAAGAATGAAAGGAATTCCTAGATTTGTGTGAACACTGCAATATGATAAAAGAAAAACCCTGAAACACATGAGACATACGGAGAAAATGTGGCTATTGAGAAAAACATACAATGCTATGGTGCTGGAAATATCGTGTAATAAAGCTGGGTTTTTTTTTTGTGGCTTATGTCATTTCAGGATAAATTCTCTATCCAGCAGTGACTCACTTCCTATAAAGTTTCACCTCTATGATTTTCAAAGCTTTCCAATCAGCACTGGCTAATTGTCACTTAGTGCTCAAAAACCTGAGATCGTGCTAAGGAAATCACTGTGACGGTTTGAATGAGACAGGTCCCCACAGTATTGGGCGTTTGAGCACCAGTTTTGGGCCCATTTAGTTAATTTCATGTGGTAGAGTCGTGGTGACTTATTAGTCAGAGTTCTCTAAACAACAGAGCACCTTATAGAACAGTACAATCAACCTCTCTCCCCCTTAGAATTTATGAGAATCACTTACAGGCTGCTGTCCAGGTAATCTGACAATGGCTGGCTATGAACTGAAACTTCAAAAATTTCAAGAGTTGCTCAGTCCAGAGTGCTTTCTCTCTTGGCTGGTCTTCAGTATCTACTGGAATCCCAAAGACGTTGGCTCTTATTCTCAGGAAGGAACAGAGATGTGAACAAGGTGAGGGCCAGAGACAAATGAGCTAAAGCCTCCGCCTACGTGTTTATATAGTCTTCCAGCACAAGGCATGGCCGAAATTAAAGGTGTGTCTTCTGGCGTCATGAACTGGATTAAAGGCCTGTGTCTTCCCACCAAATTCAATCATCAAAGGAGTGTCTTTCCCTCCTTGAGATTGAGAACAAACCAATCAAAAATGATCCTTTACAGGTGTGCCCTCCATTTTTGGCTTGTAGTTCATTCCAGTTGTATTCATGTTGGCAACCAAAAATATCTCTCACAATGGCAGAAATCCCTCCATTTAATTGACCTTGAGAATAAGGACAGGTAAATAAATACCTTCTACCAGTTATCCTCAGTTTTCTACAGTTTGTTCAGTCCCTCTAAGTAAAAAAGGAACCTCCATTTTTCCTGTATTTCTTACAGGAGGAAGCACAAATACAGTCCATTTAATATTCAGCAAGATGTTCAGCTGATAATTTTCCAAGCATCATAGGAGTTCTGAGGAGCCGAGTTGTTCTTTCTTATGGTTGTCAGTTCGCAGAAAATGTGTGCACCCGTGTTCTCCTGTATTGAATGACCCACACTTTGAGGCAATCAGGTTCTGGAAACAAAGCACAGCCACTGTTTATTAAGTGATAAGGCAACATATCAAAAGCTCCATTCACTAAAGACTCTGCCTGTTGTGTTCATCTCCTTTTCTGCACTTAGAAATTGAGTCTCAAAGGTTTGGGTGTAGTAATAAGGGCAGCGGGGCTGCATCCCCAGCACCCGGCCACCCCCACGGCTAGCTTTACCCAAAGCAATTACACGGAAACTGTATTCTTTTAATCACTGCTTGGCCCATTTCTATCTAGCCTCTTCTAGGCTAACTCTCGCACCTGGACAAGCCCATATCTAATATTCTATGTAGCACAGCTAGGTGCACTTACCGGGCCTGGGTTGGAGCTTCATCACGTGTTTCTGCCCAGGAGCTGGGAGCATGGCGTCTCTCTGAGGCGTCTGCTCCCGAGAGAAGAGCTGTGGTGTCTGAGCTCACTTCCTCTTCCTCCCACCTATCCTCTAACCAAAGAGGGCCAAGCAGTTTCTTTTTATTTAACCAATGACCTTCCTCCATCATTTGGGGAACAACCCCAAGTTTTTACATCATTCCATAGATCACATTCATGAATGTCTACTGTTTAGAGTGCTAGCTCTTCTTATATATTACTTTGAAAAGTCAGTATTTTAGTATAGCTGTTGGAAACCAATGTAAACACAGGCAAAGACTAATTTACTAGCCAACCTGCATCCCACAGAAATGAACAACAGTAATTCATATCAAAACTGCATCTCTCATTTTTTTGAGCCCATCCATACACTATAGAATAATTCTAGTAGAATCAGAATCTTTCTGTTTATTATCTCTTAGGCTCTCAATATTCAACCATGTTCTATGCTCTTCACTCAGTAGACCAGTAGCATGAACATGACACATGCTTTGATTCAATAAATGCATGATGTGATGATGTTGACTATGAAGATTGTATATGAAAACAAGACCAACATCTATTTTGTCTTAAGGGGCCAAACCATAGAAAATGACTCAAGTAAACAATGACCCACATCATGACCCCTTTTAATATAAAGATGACAGTGGAGTCTGAAATAACAGCTCTCACTGCCAAGACACTTGTGAAAGCCAAGCCCTAGTCACAGTCTTAAACTAAGAAGATCATTTGAATTTTTACAAACATAATGAGTTTGCCCTCCACTTTTCCTAAAACAACCCAACTGATTTTTTTTTCTTTTGTTGTAAGATTGTGGAAGTCTACTTTATAAAGTGCTAGCTGAAAATACTCCTATACCAGAGTATCAGTTGTAGGAAGTCCCATAATGAGGAAGAAACACCTTTGTGGAAAGATGCATGAAAAAATACTAATGAGAAAAATGTGTCAGTTATGTATGGCATGATTTAGGAATTCCAGAGACTGTTGACTCTACCATGAAACATCTCTGCACTTTTACATTTTTTTCATTTTCATTCTAATATATTTTTGGATAAAAATAATAAAATAATTGGAACAAACAGCACCATTTCTCATGCTCACAGACCTTCTGCTTTCTCTAGTGAATAATGTTGACATGGTTGGAAGAGCCAAGAGTCCATTCATGTATTCAACAAATAATACTGAAACCGAGGATGTACTTGCATCTTGGAAATAAATCACAAAGACAGTGGCTTTCTTTGTGGAGACTAAAGACAATAATAAAAAAAGAGACAGTTGCCATCTTAGTAGAAAATTGTATGTGCAGGTATTTTTAATACTATGAAGATATCTCCATGTTTCCCTTCCTTCCTGGTGTTCTTATATGTTCATATATTTATTATCTCTGTTTTTATTAATTTTTAAGATATTATTACAAAATAATGGGCTACATTGTGGCACCATATACACTTTCAATTCCATTTCTTGAGAATTTCATACACAAGTACTACACATCATTTCCACATTCACTTTCCCATGTCTAATTCCTCATTTCCCCCTTTCCTTCCCAAATTTATGACCTATTTTTATTGATACATACATACCACACACAAAGGCACACACACATACACACTACAAAGTTAGTGTTGCTCACATCTACAAGTGTTTAGGGCTGACTACTTGGGTCTAGATAATCTATCAAGAAGTTCATGTCTGGAAAATACTAACTAACAGTCCCTCAGTAGCCCACAGTTCTTCATTTAGAGGTAAAACTTTGTGCAATTCCCCCCCACATGTTGGCTTAGTAACTGGTGTTGTTATTATGTAGCTCTTTTTAAGGAAGTCATAATGCCAATATTTTCATGGGTACATGTTGGGCCTCATGGGGCCCAGGCGTGAGGCCCAGTGTAACTTCCTGAGCCTAACTTGAATTTGATGAGGCCTAGTGTAACTTCCTAAGCCTGCCTTGAGTTTGAAGACCTGTTTCTGGCTACCCAACCTAGACTCACCAATGCTTCGCCATGGCTAGAATGGCAGAATATTATTGGCCCTTATTCCTTACTCTGCCTCAATCCATCCTGCTGTGGGAGCTCATTCTGTTCCTTCAGCCAATAGCATTTGACATACAATGCTGTGGGAGCTCCTTCAGCCTAAGGTACCAGCCTACTTGGGCGTGGTCTTTTATACTATAAATGCAGCTGTAAAGCATGTGTTTGCTCTCTTGCTTTGGTTCCTCACTTAGCTGCTAAACTCTGGTTTCTGTTCCCCATTCATGCAGAGGACTGTTATCTAGGACAGTGAACTGTAAGTCTCTCCTAAATAAATAACCCTTCATTATTCATAATCCTGACCTAGTTTATTATTTTGTGACTTCCGCTTTCACCATGCCAAGCCTCTCCAACCCCATCACAACCCTATACAAGTTCCAGCCTGATGCCATTAAATGAGGTCCTGTTTTGACAGACTCCCAACTCAGTGAGTGTGCTTCTCTCCAGTGGCCAGGGGGAGGGCTGAGTCCTTCAACACTCACCCTCCTGCTCAGCCCCAGGGAGAGGCCAGTGGGTCTGGCTCTGCCCCTTCTCTTTCTGTCAGAGAACCCACCAGGTACAGCTTCCATAGGATGTCTAGAAGATCCTCTGTAGAAGCAGCCATCCTTGTTCTTCGACCCTTGAAATTCTTTGCACTGTGTCTTCTGTTTTATTTGTTTTTCCTTGAGTTTTATGTGTAGAGGTTGGAGTTGGGAACTTTATACTCACTTATTATCTGCATTTTGGTCAGTTGCAGATCCCCTGAAGTATTCTCTACCTACTGCAGATAGAAGCTTTTTTTCTGAGAAGTATGAGCTCCACTTATCTGTGGGTATAATAAAATATTCACAAAGCTGTTATA